AGTTCAAGGTCAGCCTGGGTTACAAGGTGAGTCAAAGGCCAGCCTGAACTGTATGCAAGACTCTGTCTCCAAAGGGGGGAAAAAAATTAGATAACAATATCCCCATTTTACATTAGAGGAAAGCCATTTAAAGAAGAATCTGTTCAAGATCATAAAATTGATCAGAAACTAAGTTAAAAAGCTGATTCATTAGCTCTTCTTAAAACTGATGTTCTATCAGTAAAATTATGAAAAAAAACCTGATGTATTCTTTCCATTTGAAATAGCTCAAAACAAGTGTCTGTATTAGTTATTCATACTAACTGGCTCCAAAATAAACAGGAGAAATAGAAAACTATAGAAAAATCTTAAAAATATCGTATTGGGGCCAGGGAGACAGCTCAGTGGCATAGGCACCTACCTGGCAAGATCCAAAATTCAATCCCTGGTGCCACAAAAAAAAAAAAAAAGAAAGATAAATAGATAGATCACATTGACTAAGAAACAATGAAACAATAAATATGACTTAGGGAGTTCCAATCAAATCATGTGTTACAAAACAACAAGAAAAACCTGAGATTTGTGTCATTACTTTCACTAGACTCAATATTTACTTTCACTAGTGTATATTCACAAAGTACTACTTTCACTAGACTCAATATTTCAAATGAGAAAACAGAGAATCTGCTTCTTGTAGTGTCATCCTGTTCTACCCTGAACACTAAAGAGTCTAAGTGTATGATTCATACTGGTTTTGATTTTTTTTTTTTTTGGTTTTTTTGTTTACTAAAGAGAGGTTTAATTTAGCCCACAGATCCATACTCTTAATGAAGCAAACCTGAAACCTAGTGTTGTCATTTCCTAGTTGAAAAAAAATCCTTTATGATTCCCTAGGCTTACAAATTATATCATTAAAACCTTTGAAAGTAAGTTAGTGCTACTTTTTCATTCTTATTTTCCTCTTCCAATCCTCTAAACACACTGAAACAGATTCCACTTTCCCACATCAATGTGTACAACCTGTCTCCCAGCTTTGAACATCCTCCTGCTCACTGCCTATTGAAATTCTATTTCTTCAAAGCAACAAGGTACAGTGGTAAGAACCCTAGCCTATAAGCCCAGATCAAACCCACTAGAATTCCACCACTTAATAGCTTAAAGGCCTTGAGTAAATATGTCAACAGATCTTAAAAGGGCATACACATTATTGTAATTATTGGGCAGAGTAAGCATAATGGGTCTACAAATTAGGCATAAGGGTCTACAGGGTCTCACTACACAGATTGGATTTATAGTGATCCTCCCATTTTCAGGCTCCCAAGTGCTGGGAATACAGGCACATGCCACCAATCCCGGTCCCTGTGTCTGCCTAAGCAGGCGCTTTAATCCACTGAGTTATCTGGCCAGCCCTAATGGTTATAATTTATCAATAAGGAATAGTAAATAATAAATGGTACCTATAAATCATTTTTCCCCCTCCCCATCAATACTCTGACCCTTTCTCTGACCCACTTATTGTGGGTCTTTTAGGCAAATGTTCTATTACTGAGATATATTCCCTGCTCTTTTTACTTTGAGACAGAGGCTAAACTGTACTGGCTGGGGCTGGCCTTGAAGCTGCAAGCCACCTACTTCAGCCTCTGAAGTAGATGTGATTACAGGCATACACTACCACACTTGACTCAGCATTTTGTTCCTTTTTGCAGTACTGGTGATTGAGTATTTCAACCCACTGCCTTCATATTCAGGTATATCCCCACCTACCTCCAGTTTTAAATTTTTAGACAGGGGCTCAGCTTACTTGCTAAGTTGCCCAGGTTGGGCTCAAACTTGCAATCTTCCTGCTTTACCTTCCAGAGTGCTGGAATTATGCATATACCACCTTGCCTAGCTATTATTTTTTTATGTACTGTATTACACTATGAGCACTCTTTTTTTTTTTTTTTTTTTTT